TCATTTAAACCAAAATCATATTTCATATTTTACGCTCGAGGGTTTTTACCGGTTCCTTTTTACACTCCTTAAAACAGTTTTTAAGTCGTTTGGAACAAGAGATTTTTTTTTTTCTTTCCTGGCAGCTTTTAACATGATAGCAAATCTGTGTCTGGGGGACTGCTGGTCACTGTTTCTCACAGTTGCAAATCAAGGCATTTGCAACCAAGAATAAAAAAATTTTTTTGGATTTGAAACTGGACCGGATAAACGGTATTTGAGCGGCTGCTGTATATAGTTTTAAATGGTTTATCGCACCTTCTTAAGTTGCACTTCTGTGGGGGGGAGGGTTGATAGAAGTTTTTAATCACAAAGTCACAGGACTTTTTTCTTTTGTAACTGAGCTAAAAAAGGGCTGCTTTTTTGCGGTAAAGTGATGAAGGCCTCTGTTCCTTTCTCTCAGAGGGGACAAGTACACTTTATTTTTTCTGCTGAGAAAATGTATGAAGGTAGAAAGAATAGAACACGAAATGCTACTGGAGTTGAAAACTTGACTTTTTTTTTTTTTTTTTTTTTTTTTAAAACAAAACCTACTTGCCCCTCTTTGGGAAGCTGTGTGCCAAAGAACCAGTGTCATACCCCCCCCTCCCTCCTGCTGAGCTGACGTCGCATTGTTGCATATCCCAGCTACTCTGTGGGTTTTGTGAAGCTGTGTGTGAAGTCTCTACCTCATTGTAGTATATGCAGGCAAGACTGCACTCTCCTACAGACGTGTGGAGTAAGCTGTGGTGTAGTTTTTTTGGCACATAATAAACACGTTGCAGCAGAGTTCTGCTTCTGTCTCTGTCTCAGGTGTGGGAGCAGTGGGGCCGAGGGGCTATATGACTGGAGAGTAAAAATCCCTGTTTCCTTGGATTTACTGTGGTGGTATTCCAGCCCGGGTTGAGGGTGGGGCCGCGTGGGAGACCTGCCCCTGTCCGTACTCCTTGGTCGGTTCACGGTCAAAGGCACCTTGGAGATGCCTCTCCAGCAGGCGGATAGCTTTAGTCCAAGCATAAAAAGCCCTCACACATAGCTTCTTGGAGCTCCTCTTCTCACAGCCTCAGAGCCAGCTTGGAGGAGCCGGAGGCACAGCTCGGGCCCTCTGTTCTCAGCTGCCCCTGTAAGCCTCGGGCTAGATTCTTCTTGGGAGGCTTCCCATCCTCTTGGACTCACCTGTGCTGACCCAACCCCTTTCTGAGAGGGAGAAGCTTGCTTTTTGCTACTCTTCAAGAGCCCTGTTAATTTGGACTCTTTATCACAGACTCCCAGGATTTGTGAGACAGTCTGCTGATGATTTTCCCAGGTAGGTTGTGCCTGGGCCCTGCTGCCGGGCCGATCCTTCGGAAGATAACCCAGCACGCTGAAGCAACCCTTCTGCGAGGTGTGCAGGAATTCACTGTTGGAGTGGGTGGCGGGAGTCCCTGGGCCAAGAATGTGAGGCCTGGCTGGCAGCAGCCTCCCATGAAGTTTGCCCTTGCTGGTAAAGCTCCTGCAACTCCCTCAGAGGACCAGACACGCCCACCCTTTTGGTGTCCTATTCCATATGGCATAGAGGCATCTCTTCTCCCCTCTGCCCCTCTTCTCAGGATAAGAAAGGTGCCACGTGCAGGTAGAGGGCTTCCTGCCCTGTATAGCCTTTCCGTTCCCATCCATCCAGAGTCTGGACTGGCCAAGGTGACCAGGAAGGGAGTTGAAGGCGGGGGCCCAGCCTGAGGCCCTTTACCTCCTACCACCTGGCCAGCCCAGCCTTTCCTTAGGTGGGGGCCTGGGGCTGGCCTCAAGAGTTGGGGGGAGCAGAGCCAGAGGAGGGGGCAGGGAAAGCCGGGGGATGTCTGCTCTGGTGGTTACAGGAGGGCCTGGTTTGGGAATGGGTGCGGCAGGAACAGCCTGAAGACAGATGGAGGACGTACCTCGGTGGCTGGGAGCACCGCCGGTGGGCTGGGTCCTCTGCATGTTTGAGAGCTTGCGGGGCGCTGGGAATTAGCTAAGCAAAATGGCCCTATGCTGAGGAAACAGCGCTTGTCATGGTGACTTAAATCTTACAGTAGCTTTAAGAGGCTTTGGTGCTACTTTAGGTTGGAAGGAAAGCCCATGATAAGGTGACACTTGGGCAATGACCTGGAAGAAACGAGCTCGGCCTCTCCCAGGTGCAGCCCCCGCCCCCAGGCTAAACCCACACGTCTCCGACCTAGGGACGGCTGAGGGTCCTGGGAGGGGAGGGGCACCGTCCCTGCTTCCTTACCTTTCCGCACTCCCGAATCGCCGTTCCCAGGACGCTAAAGCCTCCCTCCGTCTCGCTGGCGTGTGCAGAAGACACGCACCCCTTCTAGTCTAGGCCAAGTAAGGCGATCCAGTCCCAGAACCGACGAGCAAGAAGCAGGGAGCCCAGAACAAACCGGGGCGGGGCGGGGCAGGGAGCGGAAGTCGCGCCCGCAGAGGGCGGGCCAAGCGCTCGTCCCGCCCACCGGCTGAGGATGGGCCGCCTGCACTTCCGCCCCGCCCCGCTGGGAGTCGCTGTGGAGCTCCTGAGGAGGACTCTGCGCGGCCTAGGTTAGGCGGAAGCGCCTTTCTGGCCGGCGCTTTATAGGCCTCTCTGTTGCTTCCTGTTTCCTCTTTTACTGTACCCGCCAACATGGTAGGTCTCTTGGCTCCACGCCCCGTCCCCCTCAATCGTCCTCCATCCGCGGCTTTCCGCGGCCCCCAGCCCTCGAGGCCGGGCGCCGGACCCCGCCAGGTCCTGGCCTCCGCGGGTCCCTGGCCTCCGCGCTGAGCCCCGCGCTCCAGCGCTTCCCGACCGGCCGGCCCTCCTCTCCCCTGGGATTCAGCCCTAGCCCCCAAACCCTGCTCCCGTCGGAGCGGGACGCCGCACTTTTCCCCGGAGGGCTGCTCTGGCTCGCGAATGACCCAGTGTTGTCCAACCCGCAGGGCCGCGTCCGCACCAAGACCGTGAAGAAGGCGGCCCGGGTCATCATTGAGAAGTACTACACGCGCCTGGGCAACGATTTCCACACCAACAAGCGCGTGTGCGAGGAGATCGCCATTATTCCCAGCAAGAAGCTCCGTAACAAGATTGCAGGGTGAGTTGACGGGCCTGGTGGAGGACGGGGAGCCGCGGCTCAGGGTCTGCCGAGCTCCGACTCGGGAGCGGGCCGGGTGCCCTGCTGCTGGTGTCGGGACGAGCGTCACCGACGCGGCGGGTTCTCCTGCGGGCCTGCCCTCCCGGACGGGGCTGGCCAGGCAGAACCCCCGGGAGATCCTGCTCCGCACCGCGAGGCCTGGCCTGATTACACGCCGGGTCAGGGACTTTGGAAGTCGGAAGGAAGGAAAAGGGAGGCGGGCGGCGGCCGAGAAAGCTGGAGGTGGAGGATTGGGTGGCTCGGAAAGAACGGGAGCCGAGAAGGGTGTGTGCGAGGCGGCGGAGCTGGGTGTGCGCGCTCGGAGCCCGCGCTCGGTCTCAGGGTGGTGAGTCCTGCCCCTTCTCCCGGCGTAGCAGGAACCGCAGCTGCTGTGCGTCTCTCCGGAGACGGCCGGGACCGGCGGGGGCCGGGGTGCGCGCTCAGGGTTCTCACTGGCTTGTGCACTTTGCAGCTATGTCACACATCTGATGAAGCGGATCCAGAGAGGCCCGGTGAGAGGCATCTCCATCAAGCTGCAGGAAGAGGAGAGAGAAAGGAGGGATAATTATGTACCCGAGGTAAACTTCCTGGGTCGTTTTTGGGCCTCAGGAGCATCGTGAAAGATAAGCAGGTGTCTGGTTTGCCAAGGGACCTCCACAGAGTCTTAAAAAGGAGGTCTTCTATCCATCTATCCCTCAACCAGCTCTAGGTGCCCACAATCCATGTGCCATAGCCTTGTTTTGCCCTGTTGGGACCATTTGGGTCCGCTCTGGTTTTTCACGTGAGAGCCCTTAGTGGTGTGTGTTGAATGATTGCCGATGGCCATTTGTCCTGGTTTGAGTATTTGCTTTAGCATAACATTCCGGAGGTGTGCACCTGGTGTTGAGGTTTACTGAAAACTGGTTGGATGTTCATGAGGGTAAACGAAGGTAAAACCAGGATAACTGATCCTTGGGTGCTGGGATCCTTACGCACACTGCTCACCTTGCGGGATGCCCTCCTCCCTTCTTCCCCCTCCCACCCCCCCCATTTAAGAATCTTGGGGAAAAGGTGGGGAAAGTGAGAGAGAACTCACTCATTGATATTTGGGGCCTGCCTTGTTACTTCTAGGTCTCAGCCCTGGATCAGGAGATCATTGAAGTAGATCCTGACACTAAGGAAATGTTGAAACTTTTGGTAAGTGTGCGCTGAGTTTCTAAAATAGGATTTTGAGAACCATCAGTAGCTTTCCATGATCTCTGTTAAAACTAGCAGCCAGGTGTTCTTCTCAACGTCCTTCATACATGATTTCCTTTTGTCCTCCCCATGCCCCAAGAGACCCATTCTGCTATTTGCGTTTCCTACTTGAGGAAATGGCAGCTTGAACACTAGTGGGTGGAGGGTTGGGAATCTCATCTACGCTTCCGACCACTAGACACACCACCTCCAACATGGGGTTTGCTGGTTAGTGAAGATGGAGATTGCACTCCACCGGAAGGTAACTCCCAAAGGCAGTGGCCATTCTCCCTTGGCTTCCAGGACACCCTTCCTCCCTTCTTTCCTTGTCTTCTTGTCTCTGGCCGCTCCTTCCCTTTGCCCCTTGGTTCCAGCTCTGGCTGTCCCTTCGTACTTTGTGCTTTCCCTCGGGGACGTCATTCCTCCTGTGTCTGTATCCTGGCCACTCGTAAGAAGCGTCGTCTCCTCTGCACATGCTTACCAGGCACATGTGTGTGGCAGTTAAGATACCTTTGTGTGGCTTCTCTTAGTTCTCCATGGTTTGATGAGGGTAATCTGGGCTTCAAAGTCCAGCACACAGTGATTCAGAGCAACTTCATTTTTTCTTTTTTATGATCGCAAAATGTGTAAGACATTTGGAAAGGTAGGTAGTGAGCAGAAGGAACTGTGTACCTACCACCCAGTTTCGGACGTTACGAGCATAGCTAAGGTCTGCTGTGGACCATTTTCTCCAGAAATAACTACTATCCTGAGTGTAGCCTTTTAGTTTTTTCTATAAAATTGGTTTTTGAGGATGAACCGGGGCATGAAGTTCCAGGTGTGTGGCAGGCTCTCGACAACTGTTTGAATTAGTGAAGCTTCCTACTTGCGTGTGGCCCTGTATGTGGCCCAGGGCGGTGATCCTCAAAGGAAAAGATGACCCTCGGGACATTTGGCAATGTCTGGACACACTTGGCTGCTACAGCTAGGGGATGCTAGCAGACATAAATGGGCAGAGGCCAGGGATGCTGCTAAAAATCCTACAGTGTCCAGGACAGCACGCTGACGTCTGGCTGTTGGGAGTGCATGTTCCTCCAGATCTCAACTAGACCCCCTTGTGAGTTCATTGTTCTGGGGCGGGGAGAAGGCCCCTGTTGGCTTTCTGACTCCAAGCTGGTGGACGCCGATAGGCCAGGCCTGGCGGTGGTACTGGGACTTCGATCACAGACCTCAGCAGTACGGCCACACTGAACCCACTTTGTTGTTTTCCAGGACTTTGGCAGTCTGTCCAACCTGCAGGTCACCCAGCCTACAGTTGGCATGAATTTCAAAACACCACGTGGAGCCGTTTGAATCTTTGCTGTGCTGTAATACCTTCAATAAACCTTGGACAGTAACCTTGCCTGTGTCCTATGTGGGTTCTGTGCCAGTAGCGCTAAGGGCAGGAGTCTTTCTCAAGGCAGAAATCCTGAAGAGCACTCTGCGGTGGCAGCATCTGCAAGGGGCCTCTGGGCCGTGGGCGTTCGGACGGCGGACATCCTGGAGAGCTGAGCCCCGTGGCCACGTTGCTTGCCAGCCCCACCCTGCCTGGCCCTGGCAGGCCCTGAGCACTAACCTTGGCTTCAGGAAGAAGTCGGGGAGATGCTTTCCCTCTCCTCACCCTGTCTGCCCCGGGGTTCGATCCTTGGCCTCTCCTGGGTACACACAATCTGGGCTAATGAACCTGTCTTGAAAGGGTAACACTCCTCACATGTTTGAAGGTTGGGCTTGGTGGGTAGGAGGTTGGATGGGTGGGGTCTGCCTGGTACCTGGAACAGATGAGGTTCAAGTGTGTGTGGAGGCGGAGGAGGGTCAGTGACACTGGGGTGCATGGGTTTATTTTATTTTATTTTTCTTTATTTATTTTTTTCAATATTTATTTTTGGGACAGAGAGAGACAGAGCATGAACGGGGGAGGGGCAGAGAGAGAGGGAGACAGAATCGAACAGGCTCTGGAGCCATCAGCCCAGAGCCTGACGCTGGCCTGGAATCAAGGACCGCTGAAGGTGACCTGGCTGAAGTCGGATGCTTAACGGACTGCACCACCCAGGCGCCCCAGGGGGTGCATGGGTTTAAAGGGAGGCAGAACTGCTGGCTGTAGCCCAGATAGGTGGCTCTGAGCTTAGGATCAAAGGGTGGGCTGGTGCCTGTTGAGTAGTGGGGGAAAGGAGCCCTTCAGTTGGTGATCCACACATTTGACCACTTTTTTTGTCCTCGCAAGTTGCTGTTTATAACACATGGGTGTGTCCCAATCTGCAAGGTGGCAAAAACCAGACCAGCCTGGCTCTGCACTGGTCCTGCCTATGCCTTCTGAGGGGCCATAGTTACAGCAAGCACTGTAAAAATGTGTGACAATTTTGATAC